CTCAACCTCTCTGTAGTCCCATGCCTGGAACTACAGGTGTGCGCCACCACACCCAGCTCATTTTTGTATTTTTTGCAGAGGTGGGGTTTCGCTATATTGCCGAATATAAACAGGCTGGTCTCAGACCCCTACCCTGGCCCGTTCTGCGGGTGGGTCCTTACCCGCAGAATGGGAGGCAATGGTATCCACCCCATAGCGTTATGGTCAGGGTGGGGTGTGACAGCAGATGGGAAGCACTCAGCTCGTAGAGTAAGTGCTCAATAAACGATAGATAAGAGGAACAGAAGGAGGAGGGGGAGAAAGGAAGAGACAGGAAGAGGAGGAGGAGAGGGAGGAAGGGGAGGGGGAGGAGCAAGGGCATGGGTAGGAGAGGAGGAGGGAGAGGGGGAGGAGAGGGAGGCAGAGGAGGAGGGGCAGGAAAGGGGGAGGAGGAGAAAGGGGAGAAGAAGGAAGGGGAGGAGGGGGAGGGGGAGGAAGAGGGGGAGGGGAGGAGGAGGAAGGGGAAGAAGAGGAGGAAGGGGAGGAGGAGGTGGAAGGGCAAGGGAGGGGAGGAAAAGGAGGTGGAGGAAGAGGAGGGGGAGGAAGTGGGGAGGAGGAGGGGGAGGAAGAGGGGGAGGGGGAGGAGGAGTAGGAAAGGGAGGAGGAGGAAGGGGAGGGGGAGGAGGAGGAAGTGGGGGGGAGGAGGAAGTGGGGGGAGGAGGGAGTGGGGGGGGGGAAGGAAAGGAGGGGGAAGAGGAAGGGGAGGAGGAGGAGGAAAGGGAGCACAGGTGGCCCAGAAGGAAGGCCACTGTGAGCCTGGGGCCAGCAGGGACAGATGCAGGTCTGTGGCTGCCACGCCCTTCCCTGGTGCCAGGCAGGCTTCCTGGAGCCACACACGGTGCAGTCCTTGCAGCCTGGTGTCCCTGTGTCCAGGGAGGCGTCAGGACTGGCCTGAGGCTGCCCGGCGCGGGTGGACACTCACAGGAAGAGGTTCTCCATGATGTAGTGGTAGTCGGGGAGGCTGCTGTCCGGGAGGAAGCAGGCCGCGAAGACGATGATGGCGTTGAGGCCTTCGCCGTAGTACCCTGCGGGGGGGTGGCCGGTCAGCAACGTGGGACTCCTCCCCCAGCCCTGAGCCACCTCGCACGTGCCACCAACCATGTCCCGGTGCCCACGTGCTCTGGAGGGTGTGGCTTTGAGCCACAGCAGCCAGCGACCCCTTCAGTGGGGAGCCACAGCGACCATCAGGGACCCCCACCCCCGCCTGCCCGGCCATGCACGCCTTGCCCACAGCCCGTCCGCCCCAAGCGGGTTGATGGTTTGACATCCCTGTGCGTGAGATGGAGACCAAGATGCAGAGAGGGGCACTGCCGAGCCTCCCGTGGCCCCGCAGGCCGGTCTCACCTCCGTGGGTGACCACCTTCATGTAAGGCCGGATCATGTGCAGGTCTATGCGGTGCTCCTGCTCCCCGATAATCACCGTCCGCCACAGGCGCCCGTTGGCGGCACTGCCATCCTCCGTCGCGCCGTCCCCAAATAGATCCGCGCTGTCCCCGGGCATGTTCTTGGCGGTGGCCACGGGGGTGTCATCTAGAAGCAGGCCGGGGACAGACGCATGGACGGCCGAGTGCAGATCGCTCCCGCCCTCCCGCTCAGCCTTCCTTCCCCTCTCCCGGCTCCGCCCCTGGCTGCCAGGGCCACACATCCCTCGCTTCTCTGCACCTGGCTGCCCTGCTGACCCATTTCCTCTCCCACTCCCTCTTCAAGGCCTGGCTCACATGCTGCCTCCTCCTCTGCTGTGTTGTTCCATGGCAGGATAGGAGGGGGGCCGGGAGGCGGGTC